AAAGTGCAGTGGAGATGCCAGAAAGTTGAAAAAGCCAAGGAAGTAGAATGTCTGAGGTAACCTGCAAGGAATGAACAAAGTCAGTCCAAGAAAGAAGCCACAAGAGTTGCAAGCGCAGTCAGTGCCATAGGGCCAGTGCCACCCAAGCCCTTTGGAATTCTAATTGCCACAGCTTGCCCTGGGTGTTGACAAAAACTACAGGATTTAATATTTGCCCTTCAGTGTTTCATTATAGCTTTGGTCCCATTGATTTCTATCCCTCTAATCCTCCCATTTGGAATGAAAATATTTATCCTGTGCCTTTGTATGGCAGCAGTATTTAACATTATTTTTTATTTTTACAGAGGCTCACTGCTAATAGTTTGCCTTCAGTTTCAAAGGAGACTTTGGACTTTTCAACATTGCTGAAACTGTTAGCAGTTAGGCAATTCATAGAGATGGACTAAATGTAATTTGCATAAAGAGGTGTATGTATGTCTGAGGATCCAGCGGTGGAATGTTATGGTTTCTATCTAGATATCCCTAAAGAGCCTCATGCTCTCATAGGAAGGGATTTTGGAAAGTGATTTTATTATGGGGGCTTATAGCTGACTTGCTTTTAGGAAGTAGGGCCTGATTGGAAAAGGTTGGTTAATGAGGTTAGGAGTAACCTCAAAAGTTATATCCCTTCCCCAGCTCTTCCCTTTACTCTCAAGTTCCTAGTCCCTATGAAGGGAGTTGCTTTCCCCTATCAGACCCTTCCAACATGCTGCTTCTGGAGAAAGCAAAACATGAAAGGGCTGAAAGGTGATCCAAAATTAACCTCTCTTCCTTTAAGCTGTAGGTGTCAGGTATTTTTACTAAGTGATGGAAGTGACTAAGACTTTTAATCGCAGGAAATGTATATTTATATGTATTTACTATAACACTTTGATATCTAATGTTATCTCTAATACTCTCAAATTCATAACATTCACTTAGGAAAGAAATTAAACTAGGTGAAAATTATTTATTTGAAAAAGAGAAAAACCAAGTGATTTAAATCTATTTTTAAAAATCAAATTTTTAAGAATAAAAAAATATTTCCTGTATTCATACCAAAACAGGACAATCTTTGAGTGCAAATTTAATATGTAATGATTCCAGTGTGTTCTGAGATAAGCTGAATTGCATTATCATTTTGAATGTATGAAGCTAGATTCAAATAACACATAAAGAAACTGATAAACAACATGCTGGAATTTAAAATTTACCAGCCATAAAATCTTTGCTGTCAGTATTCTAAGATACTAGAAAAGTACCAAGATATCTGGTGATCTGAAACTTTTTTTGTCAGAAATAATGTTCTTAGTACTCATTTTATAATTCCCAATTATTGACATGGGCATTAAGGAAGATTCAAATAAATCTCTTGTTCGTCATTTATATATATCTCACAGGCAATGCAGAATTGATTTGAGTTTACTTTATTTTGCCCTTTGTTAGAAATATTTACTTACATTTACTAAGCTTTATAATTATAAAATGTAACTTGTTGATATATTAGAACTTATTGTAATGCCTTCATGTTACTATGAAAAACTAACATGTTTTAAAGAATAAGTCCCATGCAAGTAAAACCTTAGACTTAAATCTCATTCTTCTAATTACCAGTTAATCACCTTAAAATCTCTCCCTTTTAGAATTGGGTATTTCAATAGTTTGTAAGTTTGATTTTATATAGATTTATAGTTATATAGCATTTTATCTACAAATCTTTCAATCATTGAAATATCCTTTTATGTTTTATGTATATTATTCTATTTTAAAATGTTTTGGTACAAAGTACAACAATGTAAAAATAATTTGCTTGTTATTAAAACTTTCAGAAATCATTCATGAAGCATTTTTCCTTAGTGGTCTTTTGTGAGACATGTTTTCTCACCATTATTTGTGTCACATGAAATTAGCTATATCAATTGTCTGTTATTCTGCCAAATTCTTAAGAGAATGCATGATAATGTAAATTTATTAATGGAAAATATTATAAAAGAATAATGAAATACTTTTTGAAGAAATATATAAGGTATTCCTCAAGCTAGCCAACTAACTGGACCTGATACTTTAACAATATATGGGGTACATAATTAAATGGATCTCCCCCTGTTTTTCTGGACATATTTTTTCTGATATGTTTTGTAATCAGTGCTATTGAGTGATTTTCTCTGCCATGTCCTTCCACCATGATATTTCTGCCTGACCACAGGCCTAAAAGCAGTGGAGCCACCATTTCCTGAAATCTCTGAAAACATAAGCCAAAATAAACCTTTCTTACATAATTTTTTTTCTGAAATATTTTGTCACAACATAGGAAATCTAACACACTCAGCATTGTTCGATTCTTCTTTGGCTTTAATGTCTTATATTCTCTTCATCCCTCTTACATTATTACTGCACAGTGGTTGAGATGGGACTCTAATGCATATATACAATTTCCATGTTTGTTCAACACAGCCCATCTCTGCTAATATAATTTATGAAACTGTTAAGCAGAGGGCCATATTTACTGAGAAGACTCACTATCAGAAGTGGGAAGAGTAGTGGCAGGAGAATTTCCTTTGTAACTGACAGAGGTAAGCAACTATGTCTTGAACTGTTGCCCTTCTTAAGCAATTCTGGAGTATGAGCTTTACATATGTGATATCACTTCATGTAATTTTAATAACTGTAGATATTTGCATGTAAATAAACAGAAGCAGTGTAGAAAATGAGCTGAAAGGGTATTGTGGTTTAGATCTGAAATGACTTGTCAAGTCTCCTGTGTTCAGAGGCAGGGCTTTTTGAAAGTGTTTGGATCATAGAGGTGCTATGCTGATCAGTGGATTAATCCACCAAAAATTAAAACTAAATGTGCTGTTAGAAGGTGAGCCCTGGTGAGAATAGCTGGGTCAATGGAAACATGACCTGGAAGAATGTGTTCCTGTTCCCTGCTCCTCCTCCACTCTCTCTGCTTCCTAACTGCCATGAGATGAACAAATGTCCTGAGTCATGACCTTTTCTTTGTCTGTCTGTCTTGGAGCCAACGAACTGTGGGCCGAATCTCCTAGAAATTGTGAGCCAAATAAACCTCTTCTCCTTTAAATTGTTCATGTCAGGTACGTTGTCTCAGTGGTGGAAAATGACTCATATAAGGTATTAAAGAACATTTTCCCCAAAACTTGAAATGTTACAAAACCACAGTCTAAATGTCGGTGACATCTGAAATTCAAATTTATACTCAAATTGTGGTACACTGTAAAAATTTGTTTATTTCACCCAACCTCTCTAAGTCTCAATTAAATGGCAATAATAGAATTGCTGTGAGGAATAAGTGACAATATTACAATTGGTAGTCAATACTAGCAGATAATATTAGTTTTTTTTCTCCCAATGCTATTTTAACATAAACATTTTGTAAACATTCAAGAGATGACTTGAATTATTATAGTACTAGAATAACTTTTAATTTTTTCAGGCTTTTAAAAGAATTTTTCTACTTATAAAGAAATTTTATATATGACTATTTATTATATAGTTAACTTATGTTTCCTATTCCTTTTCAGTGATTATTACTATTGCTATTTTCCTCATTAATGATATTCAGTTCTTCTGAAATAAATTCAGAAATTTAAAAGAATAAGTATATATTTTATGTATAATTTTAACAGCATTTTAAGGTGGTAATTTTGCTTTATCTCTTTGTTACTTCTGAAAAAGGATTGAAACTCCAAATGTAAAAATGGATTACACATATTATTATTATTCAATTAAAATGATTAAATGAGCTTTCAAACAAACTTATAATATTATGCTTATTCATACTGATAAGGAAAAGTTTAGATAACTTAATAGATTGAATAGTAAGGTAGTTGTAGAAGCAAAATAAGTAATGTGTTCTTTTAAGATTTGCTTTTCCTATAACTCCTTGTTTAAGGTGAAGATTATCTGACTCTAACCAGTAGCTTCATTACCCTAACAAAGTTACCAGGCCAGGGTGAATTTACAATGTATATGGCATATCTTGTGTCTGTGACTTATAAATAGGAACTGGAATTGTATTTACATATCAAAGACCACTAGGGATGAGATAATAGCTAAAAAGGATATAAAAAGGGAAATGCTGTACAAAGGGGGCGCGGATATTGAGCAGACTGGTTTCTGGCATTCCCGTCCTCTCGCGAGAAGAAATTTTATTATTTTATCTGAATTCTGTGTCTCTGTGTATTTCTTTCTGAGAGTTCCACAACAATATAAAAAGAAATGGAGTTGTTTTTCAAATACAATGAATACAAACTTTTTAATTATTCACACTAAGTTTAATATTTAATAATGTAGAAGGAATATTTTGATATTTCATTATCAGCTGTAGTCTTTTGGTGATTTAATAGTGTGCATAATATAATAATATTTTTTCTTTGTGTGATATAATTCTACTCAAAAGCACAAAGTTTAATTTGTGCTTAGGTGAACTGAGAGAAATCATACATTTCTTTTCTTTTAGTGCATGTATTTATATTGATTCAAAATGGCTGAAAACAGAAATCAGTTCGCTTTCATTAGCAGTGGATGAATTCTGAGATTTGGTGATAGACTTCATATTCATTATTATATCTGCTACTTCTATTCACTAACTAAACAGTAAGATATAAATAATATAAACAAGCAAAATAATGTGAATATTTTCCACTTCAAGTAGTTATACAAATTAATTAGAATTTTAATGCAAAATCTGTTGTTTTTCTATGAAAATAAGTACAGTATATTAAATTCATTTTTGTAGTATCAATAACTCACATTCCAAATAAAAAAACTGAATTATCAGTTAAAGAGATTTTATTATTTCTGAGAGTCAATTCATAGTGAAAAAAGATGGAAAGAATGTTTTGGTGAGATTTGCATGAGCAGTAAACAATGATCACATAATACAAAAGTGATAACCTGGCATATATTGTTTTCTCATTAAATGTTATTAAAATTCAGCAAAATTTAAATTCAGTACATACCAAAGATCTTAAGTAATAAATGCAATGTCCCCATTGCCAAGTTTTTGCTGTGCTTTCAAAACGAACTTTATAGATTTCCTTTCTTTGTGTATCTTTTCTCTTTTTTCACATGCTCATGATGTCAATAGTCTCTATGCTGCAGATCATCATCTCTTCTTGCAGAATTCTCTAAATGATAGACCAGTGTGGAGAAATGATTAATGTTCACAGCATGAAATAAACTCATACTCAGTGTTAATTAAGGGAAAATCTACATTGACAAGAGTAACACTATATTTCTAAAATTAGAACTTGATGTTTCTGGAGTACTGTTAGTTCATTCTTCCTCAATATTACCTCTACTTTTAAGTATTTCTGAGTAGCATCTATACAATAAAATACAGTATTGATTTCTACAAAAAACATCATTTTAATGTAGAGAAAATAAGATTATTAATTTTAGGGCTTGCAAAGTCAAAGTATTTTATTCCAACTACAATCCTACTTTATAAACACTAACAACTATTACATATGGAAAGTACTATATCTACAATATGGATCAATAACTACAAAATATGTATTTTATTAAAGGTCATACCAAATGATATTGAGGGATGAATTATATTTTATCAGTTTGCAATTGAGAAATAAATTTTTTAAAGTATTTCACAACATATATGTATATGTACACATGTGTGCATATGTTTGTGTGAAATCCGATGTCAGTTCTTTATTTAACATTTTTTTAAAACTTTGCCTATTATAACTCTAGTTTATCCTTTGTGACAGAGTAGTACTCCATTGTGTATAAATACCATGTTTTATTCATTCATCTATGATGGACATATAGGCTCTTTCCAAGATTTAGCTATTATGAATTGTGCTGCTGTAAACATGGGTTTGCATACATCACAGTGATATGATGTCTTTAATTCTTTTAGAAAACTACCTAGAATGGAAATAGCTAGGTCACATAGAATTTCTATATTTAGTTTTTTGGGAAATACTAATTTCCATAGTGGATGTATCAGTTTATAGTGCCATTAATAATGTATACAGGTTTCTTTCTCCCTATAGCATTTGTTACTGGTTGACTTCTTGATAGTAACTATTCTTTCTGGCATGAGATGGAATCTTAGTGTTGTTTTAATTTACGTTTCTCAAGTGATCAATGAATGTTGAACATTTTTTCTTGTATTTATCGGTCATTTTTATTTCTTCATCTGAGAAGTGTCTATTCATTTCCAATGTTAATTTTTTTGATATTTTAAATTTGGGGAGTCTAATTTTTTTGAGTTCTTCACTTTCATTACTTGTTGGTGACATGATCCTTTACATAAAAGACCCCCTAACCTCCACCAAAGACTCTGAGAACTAATATCCAAATTCAGTAGTGTAGTAGTGTGCAAAGTCAACACTAAAAATCCAGTAGCATTTGGGCACACCAGTAACAAACTTGCTGAGATGGAAATCGAAGAAACAATACCCTTCACAATAACAAAAAATTAAATACTTAGGAATTAATATAACCAAGAAAGTGAAAGACCTCTACAGTGAAAAGAATAGTATTTTGAAAAGGGAAATTGAAAAGGTCATCAGAAAATGTTTCTGTATAAGCACAACCAAAATGGCCATGTGTCTAAAACTATTAAATAGATTTAATGTAATACCAAAAAAAATACCAATAACATTCCTTATAGAAGTGGAGAAAGCGATCCTAAAATTCATGTGGAGCCAGAAAAGACTGAGAAAAACAACAACAACAACAAAAATCTGGGCAACAAGGACAAGACAGAGGGCATTAGAATCCCAGACTTCAAATTATATTGCAATGCTACAGTGATAAAAAAACAGCACGATAGTGTCAAAAAACAAACAGAAAATGGACTTGTGGATCAATGGAACAGAGTAGAAGATGCAGAAACAACTCCAAGTATACTTGCCTATGTTGTCTTTGACAAAGGGGTCAAATCCGTTCACTGGATGAAATATGGCCTCTTCAACAAATGGTGCTCGGAAAACTGGTTATCCACATGCTGAAAGTTAAACCTAGACCCATATCTTTTACCATGCTTTCAACTAAAATCAAAATCGATAAAAACCCTAAACATTAGAACAGAAACAATCTGCTGGGTAAAAAAACAGGTAGAACTCTTGAATATAGACATGTAGGCAAAACTTTCAGAATAAAATCCTGGTTGCACAAGAAATAATAGCAAGAATCAGCAAATAATATCACACCAAATTTAAAAGCTTCCGTACAGCAAAGGAAACGACAAACAGAATGAGTTGCTAACTCACAAGATGAGAAAAAAATATTTGCAGGTACTCTGCAGACAAAGAACCAATACCTGGAATATACAAAGAACTTGTCAGTTTTTTTGTTTTATTGCTCCTTGTTTTAAGGTTATAGCTAATAAAATATTACCAAGTCACAGATCATGAATCTTTCATGTTATGTCTTCTTTTAGGAGTTTATAGGTTTAGATCTTAAGTTTAAATCTTTAAAGCTTTTTAATTTTTTGTGTAGTGTGTACAATAAATGTACAATTATCTGTTTTTTACATACACATATCATTTTACTAGGATCATCTGTAGCAGAGACAACTCTTTTCTCTTCGTATATTCTCAGAAAATTTGTTGAAGATCAGTTGAAAATATATGCATAAGGTTATTTAAAAATGTGTGAAATTTAACTGTATACCTTTGGAAACTAGCGTTTAAAGAATAAATCAATAAGGAAGTTTAAAAAATATCTCAAGGTAAAGAAAAACAACATTTCAAAACGTGATTCTGCAAAAACTTTGAGAGGAACAGTTATTATGATAATCACTTACCTTAAAAAAGAAGAAATATCTCATATATTCAGCTAGACTTTTTCCTCAAATAGTGAAAGAATAAGCTGACCCAAAATTATCAAAAGGAAAAGACTAAAAATCTAGTTGAAATAAATAAAATGGAAAATACAAAAATCAATAAAAATTGTAATGATTTTTGAAGGCATAAAACAAAATTTTCAAGCCTTTTGCTAAACTAAGAAATAATAAAAAAGGCTTACATAAAATCAGGAGACGTAAAAGATGAGGAACAACTGATCCACAAAATTTAAAAGGACCACAAGACACTATTACCTAGAGGAATAAGAAATTCCCACAAATATACTATCTGTTAGACTGAAGCATAAGGACATAGAAAACCAACACAGATGAATACAAAGTGAGCAGATTAAATCAGTAATACAATCTCTCACAACTCAGAAATGCTAAGGACCAGATATTGTCAGAGGTGAATTTACTATACATTCAAAGAATTAACACAAATGCTTTTCATATTCTTCCAATAAGTTGAACAGAAACCATTTCCAAACACTTTAGAGGCCAGCATTACTCCAATAAAAAAGCCAGATGAAAACATCTTTTTAAAAAAGTAGAAGCCAAAATCCCCAATGAATATTTCTACAAAATCTTCAACATCTGTCCATCCCTATCTGTCCATGTCCTTCAACATCTGTTCATGTCCTTCCTCCTATGGAAGATTGGTTCTAGACCTCTGGCAGATACCAAATATCTGACTCTGATCAAATTATTCTCATAAATTGATATTTTATTTGAATAAAACCTATACACATTCTCTCTAATACCTTAAATCTTAAATCTTCCCTAGGTTACTTGTATCTAATATAATGTATATGTTATATAAAAATAGTCATATCACACAGTTTAGGAATAATTACAAGAAAAATTTCTGTGTATTTTTATACCAGGCATTTTTTTCTGGAATATTTTTGATCTGCACTTGGTTGATCTGCAGATATGCTGAACTCTGACATTTAAAGGATAAACTGTACTAATAAATCAATTTGATAGCACTTGAAAAGAGTTATCCAAAATGATCATAGAGATTTTTCCTTCTGATGCAAGGATTTCTAAAGATGTACAGATTATTAAATAAGATATACCATATAACAAAATGAAGGACAAAAGTCACAGAATCATTGGAGTAGATGTAAAATATACATTTGACAAAATTCAACACCATTTTAATAAAATAAAATCCCAATATATTAAGTATGGGAAGAATTTACTGAACGTGGTACAGGATCACAGCTGATATCATACTCAACTGTAACAAACTGAAAGATTGTTTTCTAAGATCAAGAACAAGCAAAAATGTCTTATGTCACTACCTCTATTTATTATAAAACTACAAATCCTACATAGAATCATTAGACCAGAAAAAATAAAGAAATTAAAATTGGAAAGAGGTAAAATTATCTATTTGCAGATGACATGATCTTATATGTAAACAAAAATTAAAAATCAATAACTGGAATTAAAAACAAACTGCAAACAAATCTACAAATCTATTAAAGTTTTGGAACACAAAATTCACATAAAATAATCAGTTATATTCCTGTATATGAGCAATAAAATATCAAAAAGGAAGTTAAAATAGCATTTATAATGACATTAACATGAATAAAATACACAAGCATAAATTAACCTAGGAAATGAAAAATTTATACACTAAATATACAAAATATTTATGAAAAATTTAAATGTACAAATGGAGTGGAAAAGTATCCTCTGCTTGTAAATTAGAAGATTTAATATTCTTCATTGTCCATAATAGCAAAATCAATCTGCAGATTAATTTAACTCCTTTAAAAATTTCACATTTTTTACAAACATGGAGAAATATTCAAAATTCATATGAAGCCGTAAACTACCATCAGTATCCAAATTATTCTTCAGAAAACACACCATTGTAAACATTATACTTTTTATTATTACATATTATTACAAACCTACAGTAATTAAAATAGTATGACATTGCAATAAAAAATGCATATAAGCCAATGAAGCAGACCAGAAAGACCAGAAAGAGGGTAGAAAACCTACATAGATTGAGTCAGGTGACCTTTAGTGAGGCTATCAAGAACATGCAATAATGAAAGGATAGTTTCTTCAACAAATGGTGGTGGAAAACCTAAATATCTATGTGCAAGAGAAGGACATTCCTTCTTTACCCTACAAAATACAGAAAAAATATCAAATAATTCAATATGTTATCATACAAACACCTAGAACAGCATATGAGGCTTAATGATATTTTTCTATGAATTGATGTTTTGCATATCCCACTAAAAGTAAAAGTAACAAAAACAAAAGTAGAAAAATGGTACGGGA